AAAAAATTAAGTTAGAGTTAGAGCTCCAATTACAAAATGTTTCATGAGTTAATTAATTAAATGAAAAATTTTTTTCCAGCTGAAAATAAAATATAAAAGTAAAATGAAATTTAAAAAAAATCATTGCAAACTATTACAAGTAATGATCATTAATGGTCATCTTTTCAAGTAAGCAAACCATATTTTGAAACTTTTTAAATTAATAGATTTCAGTAACTCTTAGATAAATAAAAATCAATAATTTCAAATTTCAGAGGTAAATTCCGAAAATTTCGAATTTCGATAATAAATTTCAACAATTTCAAATTTCAATAACAAATTTTAACGATTTTAAATCGCTTCAAAATTTTCAAATTTCAATAACAAATTTTAACGATTTTAAATCGCTTCAAAATTTTCAAATTTCGGTTCTAAACTTTAACAATTTCAATAATTTCAGGTATTTTTAACAAAACAAAAGATTCTCTTTTTGTTTTTCATAAGCATTCAAAACAAATGGACAATAAAAGTATTTTCACTATCTTCACCTTACTATTCAATGTGAAAGGAAGTGTTTAATAGTTGTGATCTTACAAATATTTCGCGGGGGGGGGGGGAGGCGGGGGAAAATGAAACGAATACAGTGGGAATTTCCCGGGAGAAAAAAGAAGGCGGATATAGGCAATTTCTGTAGTGTAATTATAAGCCTAAAATGTAATATACAGTGATCGATTAACTTAACAATAAGGAAACAATCACAAACTCATAAAGGAATTTTCTTTCTCCCTCTCTTTAGGAAACTAAAGAAAGATTAAATAGATTAATTCCTACAGGAAGCATTAAAACGAAATCATTTTCATCGGAATTATCAAATCTCCGAGGTAATTTACCTATAACGATGACAGATCAATGTGACTGGAATCAAAGTAAAGGTGACATCTGTTGCTAAAAGATTACACTTAAGTGACAGAATATTATGACAGCACGTTATAAAGACAGAGATCTGTCATATGTACCACAAATTTGTATAATTGTCAACTGTCAACTATCAAAGTATTTCATAAAATAGAGGAGAATGGATCGGAAAATGGTGATTTCGGTATGTCTTTCTTTATCCTTTAATTTCGTTATAACGTCATCCTTTGACAGTCTCCAGTGGATGACATTACTGGAAAGTGACAAAGTACCGAACCAAAATGCGGAAAAAGTTTAATTACGAAATTAACACAGATGTATAAGTTTGATTGAATAATTTTCATATTGACATAGCCAACAAATAAGACGTAGGAAGGAAATGGATGAACAAGTAAAGTGGAACGAAATACCAGTTCGGAAAAAGGGGAACGAAGAAAAGACAGGAAGGAACGGTCTCTTGAAATTTGAAATAATTTTCATCCATTCAAATCAATAACAATTTATTATTCGATATCAACCAACCAATCAATAAAGTAACTCACGCATAACTTACGTATAACTCACGTACGTTTCAGACAAGTAACACAGTAATTCCATTTTTGGACTGATTGATTCTTCTCCACGTAATTTATCAAATATATTCACTTTTAATCAAGTAAAAAGTTTGTTAAGATTTATGCTATTAAATTGGTACAGTAAATTATAATATGATTACAGGTAATATTCCTTCTAATAATTTCTTCCATTATTTTAAATTACTAGATAGACGGTTATTTGCAACTGAGAAATCTCGTACATTCCATTTCAGCTCTAAGAAATCTCGGGAATATGCAATGGTAATTGCAAGCGTAGATGTGTCTCTATCAAATCGCATATTTCATTTCTCAACAAGATAATTAATCAAACTTTTGAGAATAATATTAAAAAGAAAGTTATTCATTTACTTGAATTTATCCATTCAGAAATTAACACTAACCTGATCAGTAGCATCTACCGGTGTACCAGCATCCAGCAATGACTGGACACATTCCGCATGTCCACGAGCTGCTGCACAATGTAAAGCTGTCTCACCATCCTGTAATCGATTAATGTAATCGGTCATCAAGATATTATCCAGAAATTTCTGAAATAATCCATCAGGATTTATTCTTTGATGAAACTGAAACAATTAAGAATTTTTTCGACCTTTTGAATGTAGTATTGTTGAGTCAAACTGGGATAGTAATATTTTCAAGTCATTTTAGACTAAAGAGAACTGAAGACTACAAATGTATCCGGATAGGTAAGAGATCCGGAAAAGGAAACAGACATGGACAAACACAAACATATGCGCATGTGGCACAATGGATATTAAATCGGAGACAAAAATTTCACTACGATAAGGTTTATACGAAGAATGAAGCAGCCATATGCATACAGTTATTTCCGGAAATTATAATCCTGATTCAGGATTATAGTTCCCGGTAAAGTTTAGATGCAAATACTATACCGAAGCACACAAAAAATAGTCCCAAAATTGATTGCTTTCTAAATTAAACTTCTCTATATAAAAATGCCTTAAAATATCTAGCATATCTCGGTTGTTCATTCTTTAATAAAATCCAATTGTTTTTAGTACCAAGAATGTAATGAATTATGAAAAGAAATGATATGATAGAAGTGATAAGAAGTGATATGATATATCAGACAGATATGCTCGAAGTCTCGAATCATCTTAAGTCATTAAACGATTAATTATCCTAAACCTGAACATGGATAACCAATATCTGATGATTCTCTTTTATCAAATATAACCTTATCAATTCCACTTCCAATATCACTATTATTATCTTATCATAAATAGAGTACTGTTGTACTGTTGCACATGTTACCGACTTCATTTTAAAATAATGAAATGAAAAGCGCTAATCACGTAATTGTCATAACAATAAAGCGCATTTGTCCTAGATAAACATGAGGTTTTGAGAGATTTATTGCTTATTTCAATGAATGGATATCTAATCAATCAATCAAAATTTCTTCTTTTTCCATCATATCACATATCAACATTTTTTTTTTTGCTTTGAAATAGGATGAAAAAGGAATTTTAATAATTAATGACAAAGAAAAAAAGAATGCAATATCAGTTATGTGATATTTGATAAAACTTCTAGAAATTGAAACTTATCTGATAAAATATTCAATGATTCTCTTATCCAATGACATAATTCAATTGTACAATAAATATGTATTCTATAAAAACAAAAGAATAAAATAACTACCGTATATGATAAGAAGAGAAGAAGTTACACACATACACACACACACACACACACACACACATACATACACACACATGCATACATACATTCATCACAATAATCCCTAACTAAAGCAAATCCCGCATTCCCGAGTCTTTCTGGTGTAACTAACAAACATTCATCCATAAAATAATGGATGAAAATAAAAAGATGCAAAGACTTATGGAGAATAAATAGCACTTTGAAAAGAAAGGATATGAAAATACATCGAAAAAACCAGTATTACTATTCACAAATGAATGAACATCATGATTAGCATACTGTAACCTGTAAAAGATGTCCTCCATGTATCTAAGTGATCACATATATATTCCATCCTTAATAGAATCTCTCAGTTCACGGTAAACAACATATCAATTCGATGGAAAAATCCATCCTACCTGTATTTGACGTGGAAAAAAGTGATGATCAGATAGAACTGAAGAAGGTCAACTTATCTTTTTTCACGTAAAGTATTATCATTGAAATAAATTTAATGATAAGAAAAAGATGGTAAGATGAAAGATGATGATATGTTCGATTTCATTTTCACGTAATGAAGGTTAAATGAATGAAGAAGTAAAATTGAGAAGAACAAAAAGGAAAGAGACATTCCATTCTTCTTTCATAAAATAGATGGAAGGAGGATAGTCAAGTAACTTCTAGCAAACTTTTTCAAAAATTTCAAGGAATTTTTCAAAACGAAAATTTCAGACTATGAAGGTTAAAAAGGGAAAAAAATCACGGTATTGTAAATTGTGAAATGAAATTTAAGATGTGATTCGCATAAACTAGTAAATTAATTCCATTTATCACTTATCACTCTCAGAGATATTTATTTGCTATGGCTGAACAAATGTAAAAGTCCATTAAAAACTAACCATTGTAGAACCACAATATTGATCCCAATCTTGATGCATATCAGTGATGAGTGAAATAAATTTTGTTGTAACAGGTGTTAAACGTGAACATGGAGATGATGATATAGCACTGATCGGCATTGATCCCAAACAATGAATACCAAAAATATTATTTGATTCTTAAATTGATAACTTGCTATATCAAATATGAGCAACAAGAAGATGTATATGTGACGATAGAATGGTCAACATGGTCACTGACTGATGGTCGAATGTCTGGACAAGCTGTAGCTAAATGGAATAGATGTAAAGTATGAGAGAAGATTCGTGAAATTATCTCGAACAACAAATCGTAGCATTACTTAAATCCACCATCATAATATTTCATTCTTCTTCAACGACATTTGCGCCACAAAAGGAAAAGGATTGAATATAGGACAATGGAAATATCTTATCAAAATAGGACTGTCGTGTTGAAGTGATAAAAGGATGGAACTATGAAGAGTACAAAGGACAGTGCATTCCCGTATAGGTCAAATGTTGTAGTTCTTGATCATCGTATCAGCACTAGCAAAGTCTAAGATATTTGGTTCCAATGAATACTGTCACCATGGAGATTTCCACCAATTGCGCTCGCCACTATTGCCATTCATCTTTCCTACATTATTTTGACAATTACCAGAATCCAGAATATCAAATTTATCTTCTATCAAAAGAAAAATTTTTCATTCAATGGTATGTTGAGAATGCGTGATGAAGCTTTACCATGGGTGACATTTGCTGTGACAGTATCCGATCTGGGAATTTTTTGTCTGCATTAAACAAATTACTCATAGGATAGTGTGAGCTTGGCCTATAAGTGGATGTGGAACAGGAAATGGAAGTAAGACTGCACTCTTTCTATTGGACATATGACATATAACAAAAGGGCATTTAACCATCACCAAAAATTTGGTATATGTCACCGATGGGACAGAGAAAGAGAGAGGGAGAGAGAGAGAAAAAAAGACCTAGTTATCAATAAAACAAAGAAAGTCAGGAATGATAAGCCGATGGATGATTAAAACGGATTAAATGCCGATATTCAGATAAAACCGGAAAAGAAACATGAAAGGATGAAGAAAAGATAATTCAAATATTATAATGTATAGGAAGAGGTGACAATGAAACAATCGAAAACACAGTGTTTTATTCTCGATAATTGATGATACCGGTAGGGTGACGATTATCTCATATTTTTACTGTCACCAAACTTGAACACACACAATACACGCACACACACAGACACACACACACGCACACATACACACACACACACACACACACACAACACACACCCATATCGTATCGAATAATTGTAATCCTTTTATAAGTTGAAAGGAACATTCTTGTCATTGATGTTAGTTAGTGACAAGAGAATGATATCATATCAATCTGATCATTTTAATGATTAAGTATAGATGCAGAAACTAGTAACTGTTACTGTTACTCGAATGAATATCTATCCGTTTATCTACCTTGAAATTATACATAACCTGAAATCCTTTCAGGAAAAACAAAAAAAGGATGGACAGAAAGACTTTTTAGCTGGAAGAGAAATGAAAACAGTGAACAATTTTTATGATTGCAATGAATAATAAAATTTGCGCATGAATGAATAAATCTATAATTTTCATTCAAAGTATGTATAGCCCATAAAAATGAAGGTAGGTCCTAAACTAAGGCCAAACTAAAGCTGTATTACTTGGCTATAAGAAGAGAAAGAGGCCTAGTAGCCAAGAAGAAAGGAAAAGGGCCTTTTTAATTCAAGCAAAATAAGCGATAAACCTCCACAACTCTAACCATCGTCATATCATCTTAACTTTATTCCATTCTCATCTGGTTGCCATAGTTACTCTCATTGCTCGTTGTTACTAGAAACAAAGTAGACTAAAAAAAAAGAAAAGAACTTTGACAAATCTATATTACTGACTTGAAAAGTAAATAATCAATACAATAATTTAATTATCACCTAATAAGTGGACAATAAATAATTGAATGGTCAAATTCTATGATTTAAAATTTATTTGGGAATATATTCCTGATGATATAACTTTGATCAAATATACCTATCATTCTGATGGTCATTTATTGAAAAAATTCTTCCAAAAGTAACCATGAACAAGATATAAGTATGACAATTGTGACAGTGACAGGTGTAACAGATTTGACTATCGATGAGTTAAATCCTTAAATTTATTGAAAAAAATTTTTGAAATTGAAAGAAAATTCTTCATCATTCGCCACTAACCAAATAAACAACAATAAACATAACCGATGAGTCATATCCTTAACTTATTTAAAGAATACTTCAATACAAAAAAAGAAAAAAAGAAAGCAAAATGGAACATTTCTAAAGAGTCTTTCATTTTGCTAAAGTCATTTCAATAATGCCAAATATTCCCAATGGAATTCTCTTCTATCCCTTCAACAATCTTAACCTTGGATATTGACCAACAATCGAAAACTAACCAAACAATAAATTTCATAAAATAAAAAAAAATTGAACATTTATTCATTTATTAAGAGGAAATATGCATTAAATCAAATTTCACAATTTAAAATTTAAATTTAAAATTCCTTTCTTCATTTGAATCAAACAAAATTCCACAAACATTTCGTTGGATATTATTACTTTTAATTTTCAACAACCATTTTGATAAAATATTTGAAATAATCAAAATTTGAAATTTGAACAGATACAACCACAAAATGATACATTAGCACAACATGCATTCCGTATATAATGTCAATTAAAAATACATTAGAGATAAAGATCTCCCGGATTAGACTGAAAATGAAAATTGATTGAATTTTATTTACTTCTACGTAAATTCTGTTGTCAAATTAAAAATACATTAGAGATAGAGATCTCCCCAACTGGACTAAACTTAAATTGATTGAATTTTGTTTACCTCTCGATAAATTCTGTTTACCTCTAAGTACTCTCAGTGGGGTAATTTAATGGAAAGTGTAGGATACGTAAGAAGGTAACAATTTAAAGGAAACTTTATGAATACTTCCAGGTGATATGATCGGATAGATTACCTTTTTTCTTTTGAAAGAGAGAGAAAGAAAAAGAGAGAGATTCTACAAATCATTTCCTCTCTCCGTTCTCCGATCTGCTTGTATTCCCACGAAAAAAAAAAAAAATCGGCCAGGATTCATGAGTTGCCCTCATTTTACCCGACAATCGAAATTTTTGTAAGAACAAAGCGCAATTCCTATCAAAAATTTTTGTCATCCCGAATGTTATATAAAGGTTATTGGTTGGATCGGAATTTACAAAGTGTTAACTTCTAGTTGTTATCAGAAATTTCCGTCATCTCAAATGTTGCATAAAGGTCATTGAATTGATCGGAATTTATAAAAGGTTAATTTCTGGTTGTTATTAGAAACAAACCTGATTTTTGAGATGAAGAGGTGGATTGAACTTGCATAATATCCCAAGAAGTGCTGCATATCCATGCCAACTTGCAATATGCAATGCTGTCTCATTATGCTGCAATATTAAGGAAAATGAAGATAGTCTTTTGCGCTTAAAAAGAAAGAAAAAAAAGAAATTTCAAATGACATTCAAAGGGATAAAGGACAATTTCAAAGGAGAAAAGAATAGTCATTTTATACCTCATCTTGTAACGATGAGTTAGCTCCATGTTCAACTAACAATAGCGCCGATTCAAGTTGCGCATAACGAGTTGCTACATGAAGTACACTTTCATTATTCTGTAATATTTCATCCTTTTAAAACTTTTCCTTTCTATTACTTCATCTGCTAATTTTATTTTGTCCTACACGAATAGATATCAATTTTAAATGGTTCCTTGTTGTTTGATAATAATTTTGGCGCAAAAAGTTGCTTTTGATACTCACCATAACAAATGGAAAGTATCAAAAGGTAGCATGACAAATGCGCGAATATTTCAAAGCTCAAAGTTCACTATTTCATCAGTGGATATTGTAGAATTTAATTTTAAGATAATTAAGCAAAATTAAGGAGCAATTGTTGTATTCGTAAGTTAAACAAACCTTGTTGACAGCATTAATGTTCACATTTTCCTCATTGATAATATAGCTTACGATGTTAGTACGACCATTCCGTGTCGCCCAAAAGAGTGGTGTATCACCACGTCGATCAGGTACATCTAATGCAGCACCTTTCATATGCAAATAATGTACAACATCAAATTGTCCTGCACCTGCAGCTACATGCATCGCTGTTTCACCCATCTGAAGCACTTCTAACAAGAACAAACATATCAATCATAATTAAACTTTGCTAATATGGATAGATGGAAGAAGTAAATGAGTATCATAAAAAGAACGGAAAGAATTAATGGTTAATGTAAATCAGAATATTATAAACTCTTGTTTTGCATGATATAGTAATAGATGATAATATCATTATCAAATCTTATCTCTATAAACCTTACCCGATTAGCAATATTTAAATTGATTCGATGTAATACAGCCAATTGATCAAGTCCTGCTAAATTACCTTCTTCACATGCAATTAGCATTGCTGAGACGATTAATTCTTCCTGTAATATAATGCTTACTTATTAGTAGTAATTAGAAAGTAAGTCACATCATTGGAAGATGTCATTATCCAGGTAATGATAAATGAAGTCATAGAAAGTGTGGGAAACAAAATAAGTGACAAGAATTTAAGAGAGGCTAAAGATCAATGAGTAATTGTGGTAAATTTTAAGTTTGAAGAGTAATTAAGTAAAACAATCATGATCAATGTCTTTTTTGAGTCATCTCAAGTATTGCAATTACGTGATGAATTTTTTCATTGTTAGCTGAAATCTTTCATTTTCAATATGCTAAACTGAACTATGTATATTTCTTAAGTAAGCTTTTAAAAAAATTAAGGTAAAAAAGATATAATGAATAGAGGACAGTCAACCCTATTGTCACGTTATCACAGCTAGTCTCAACACTATTACACCTTATTTTACACCTTATTTCATTTTTTTTTCATGTCATTTTTTTCATTCCTAAGGATATTAAAAAGTAGTTAAGCGCATAATGCAGGACAGAAATGCAGGTGCAGGATAGAAGTGCAAGTGGAGGATAGAAATGATTTCGATTAAATTACGCAATAAGTAAATGAACATATTTTTGTCAACGCTAAAGCTTACAACGAACAAAATAGAATAAATTAAAGTGAAACGTACAGGATCGAATCGTGAACTGACCGATCGACCAGCTTCTAAAGCTTTTTGTATGGTGGATCGTGCATCTGCGGTCATTCTATTGCAAGCTATTACGATATCTACAGCTCTCTGAAATATATCTCTTTTATGTTATCTTAAATTCAAACTGAAAATTTATAACAAAAACAGATATCCTTTCCGTAATATGTAAATCAGGTAAAAGATCAGATAAAGGAATTCGGATTACATATTGGACGACAGGTATTTTCAGGAATATCTTTGCAATATTTTTAGAATCCATCTAATACGTATGATTAAATTCAAGTTGATATCAACCGGAAACTGTTTTATGTCAAAATAATACATTAACCGTTTCTACAAAAAAAAAAAAGACCGGAAAAAATATGAACATGTATAGGAAATGTGCGCAAAATAAAGATGCCATTAGGAAGATATTTTATTGATGAAGTTAAATATTCAAAAATTTAAATAAATACCCTCCATCTTAAGCGTATTTTGAAAGAACGTATTTGTGCCATCGAAATCATCGAGTATTGACGAACATCATTAACCAATCCATCAGGCTGTAAGAAAATATCGCTTAGATTATATGACAGAAAGATGATAGCTTCGACAAAGAAATCAGTGCTATTCATAGAGATGACACTTTCGAGATAAGATAATAGATAGGATACTGATAACCTATACTTTTTCGGAAATTTGATATTGGTGGAAGAATGAATAAAAATTATTCTGATAAAAGGAATTTGCTCTTTGAAAAGTCAATTTGATTCTAACTTTAGCATCTTTTCAACTTTCATTTTAATTTATTTTTAGCTTAATTTCAATGGAAAGGACAAAATTTCAAAAACTTTTAGCAATATTAATATACTTCTATAATAGAATTGTAGTAATTCTGGAAACTTTTTTCCCGTTTTTTCAATATCTTTTTCATTATTCTTTAATGATTGTTTAATTTTAATTGAAATCAATCTCGGCATAATAAAGAGGAACTGATCAGCTCATATTGTCATAAAAGTTTTTTAATGGAAAAGAAAATTCAACTCTTTTAAGATTGAATTCTAACAAACATATTTTCAAGCATCTGTGAGTGTATCTGGAGTAGGGAGAGTAAAAAGACAAATGAAATATGTGACATTTCTGAGCAGAGAAAATAACAATTCAAAATGACCAAATCTTGAGTGGTAGCGAATATTTTCACTAGAAGAGAAATACATTTTCACATAAGTTAACAAAAATTTTTTTCATATTTTTAGTTTGATAAAAACTTTGATAAAAATAGTTTGATAAGACAAAATTTGACAAAAATAAAGTTTGATAAAAATTTTAGTTTGATGAAAATAAGGCAAATATTTAATCCAAATATTTAATCCGTTAGTAACTAAAGTTTCCAAAAATAAAACAATCCTCAATATTATCTTCATTTATAATCAAAATGAAAGGATTGGAAAAAAAATTTCTTTTTTCCTTAGAAATTTAAATCTTTTTGTAAATAATTTGAAAATAAATAATATAAAATTACTTTTGATATGATAAGAAAAAAAAAAGATCTTTCAAGATTGATTGATAAAGAAACATACGCCTCGAATCCATGGATGTCTGAGACATTCATCAACAGTGGCTCGTTTACGTTGATCTCGAATAAATAGATGACTGATAAAATCTTTTGCATATGGTGAAATATGTTCAAAATAACGCTCGCTAAAGTGATAATTTACAGCTGATATATTTACAAACGTTTCATCACGTGTTTCACCAAGAAACGGTGAACCACCACTTAATCTGAAAATAATAATTTTGCAAAAATGATAAGAAGTGACAAGTGTGTATTGTACTAATATAGTAAATGATAGATAATTATTCACGAAGAATGTTATCAGTAGGCTTTCTTATCTTATCAAGCATGATATAAAGGTGACAGAAGTGAAAAGAACGGTAGTCGAGAGTCAATAACAATCAATAACTATCAGATTAAGCTTATGGGCTTGTTAAAGAAATCTACAAAGACATATAACAAACTAACAATATATAGGTGACAACGCCCAATGCCCACATATCGGTGGCAGTTGATAAGGGTTCATAATTGACAACTTCGGGAGCTGAAAAAATTTAGTAAATAATCTATAGTAGCAAGAAGGAAGATATTAATATTTATGCTGCTTTGAAATTTTAAACTTTAATTTTCTATTTATAAGTTTGATAAAATGACAGTTTCTGTAAATGTTGTGACATTAATGTCATCAAATGAAAATATGAAATGTGCAAACATCTGTTATACTTCCTTATTCCAATCATAATTTTAGAAAATAATTTAGTTAAAAAAAAATAACACTGGAAATATAACTCGCTAATAAACGACAAAGAGAAAGAGAGAGAGAGAGAGAGAGAGAGAGAAAATTTAAATAAACTTACCCACAAATTCTGGTGTACCTATCATATCTTTAACAACCGTTCCCGGTAAAATCCTTCTTGAAAGACCAAAATCAATGAGTTTAATCTTTGATTCACCTCTCTTCCTGAGCATTACATTCTCTGGCTACAAATAAAAATTTAATTTTTTAATTAAATAATACACATACTGTTGAGAGAGAGAGAGAGGAAAAAAAAAAGTTCATTTGAACGAT